TGGAACATTTTGTTGACATATAAATTGTTTTGCTAGGGATGTAACAGCAAAGTATGACAGTCTGCATGGCTTCTAGGCCTGTCCAGTTTGCTGGCCACATTCTGCCAAGGTCAGCTATGAATGGAGCCCAAGGCAAAATCCATAAGCTTTCTTAAGACATTCTGAGTTGCTTTTGTTGCTGTTACTTTTTGCTCTTGTATGCAGGCTCTCTGGTGTGAATTTTGTAGATGGCCACATCATATCACTGTGTCAAAAGGATGGATACCCTGGCACCAGAACCGCATACCTCACAGTTCAAGGGTCCTGTAAACTCAGTAGCAAGGTTTTATCAGGCTTGGTGGTTTGAACACAATGTCCCCCATATCTCAGGCATTTGAACACTTGGTCCCCAGTTGACCTCCCTCTATTTGGGAGGTTTAGGAAGTGTGGCCTTGCTGGAGGAAGTATGTCACTAGAGATAAGATTTGAGAGTTTTAAGACTCACACCATTTTGAGTTTACCGTCTCTGCTTTATAGTTGCTACTTAAGATGTGAGTCCTCTGTCTTCTGCTCCCACAGCCATGCCTGCTGCCTCCCTGCCATAATGGACCCTTGGAACCACACACACATATAAACTCATTCTTCTACAAGCTGGCTTGGTCAGGGAACTTTATCATGGCATTCAAAAAATGACTAGTTGAGCAAGATTTGTTTCTTCTAGGTCTGCTTCTTTGGCTTTCAGATTAACTCTGTCTTCTCTTAGCCTTCCTCTGTGTGTATAAATTGTCTCCCACTGGATTCCTTATCAGCCATATTGAATTAGAATCCATCCCCCAAAACTTCATTTTAACTTAATTACTCCATTATTAGCTCAAAATACAAAAGCATTCTAACATACTAGAGTCAGAACTTTCACATATGAATTTGGGATGAGGCATAGTAAAGTTGAAATGATCCATGTGAGATAATTATTGACAAACATGCTGATTAAAGCCAATTAGAAGTTTTAAGTCCTTTTTATTGATGACCAGACCAAGAGTAAGCTTGTGACTCTTGATGCCCAAGCTCAAAAACATAGAGGTTTTAGAGGCAAAACCACAAAAGCCATAATAATTTACGTCAAGGTTAGATGAGGGTCACACTAGCCTTGAAACATTCATTTTTGGCAGAGCATGGCAATTAGTTTAGACACAACATGCCAACTATTATTTTACTTATATCTTTTCCATTCTTTTCTTTTCTACTCATTTTAATTATTTTGGTTAGTAACATCTGGACCATGGCCAAGGCCATGGAAGTCTCAAATGTGTTGCCAAGGCAGACATGATTGTTGGGAGGGCAAGGGCAGAGGGTGAGAACTGTCTAAGCCAGCAGCTTTCAACCTGTGGCCGCAACCCTTTCACAGTGGTCACCTAGGACCATCTGCATTGTAATTCATAACGGTAGCAAAAATACAATTTTTAAGCAACAAAAATAATTTTCTGGTTGAAGGTCACCACAGCATGTGGAACTGTGTTAAAGGATTGCAGCATTAGGAAAGTTGGGAACCACTTGTCTAAGCAAACACAAACTGGAGTCAGGATAAGGCGTTACCTTTGTCATTTCAAAAGGACATAATTTAGATTATAGCAATCAGCAGGTTTTTCACTGCTGCAAAGTAAATGTGCATAAAGCCTTTCCTCTATGAGCAGTTACTGCTACATTCTGTGCTCATGGAAAGCCTTCTTAGGGACAGAGAGACGGTGACCCTCCAGGGCTGTCCTCTGGATCCAGTGTGTTAGCTGTGCACTCACCATCCTCATTCATTGATCCTCTTGAACCATGCTTTCTGATATGACAGAAAATGTGCATGTGCAAGCATGTGTGTGTGCATATGTTGCCACATGTGTATATGTGTGCGTTCGTAGGCCAGAAGTTAACACGAGATATCTTCCAAAATTTCTCTCTACCTTATTTTTGAGTGACAGTCTCACTGAACTTGGTGCTAAGTAAGTGACTCAGCTGGCCAGTGAGCTTGGGGACTGGCCTGTATCTGCTGCCCAGGGCCCTGATTATAGAGCTGTATCCCTGCACCCAGATTTTCACATGGGCGCTGCTCAGTTTCAACTCAGGTCCTCATGCTTGGGTGGCAAACACTACCGACTAAGCGATATCCAGGAGAAAATAGCAAGATTTTATGGGTCAAATCTAACAATAGGATCCAGGTTCTAGTGCCCTGTGTATTTAGCTAAGAGAGCTGTGCTATTTTTCATTTTGAATTCTGTTGGAAAACTTATTAATGTACTTCAAGATACTACATAATAGTGACACTCAATATACATTTTTAATGCCCTTTTCTTAGTGTCTGCCTTAACTGTTCGTGTGAGAGTGAAAGGATTCTAATAAACTCCGCCTTTCTTGCTCATGCCACCTTGAGGGCTTCCTGGGTTGTTTTCATGACTTACTACACTGAAGGTGAGTTCTCCGATGATCTCATTTCATATGTAGCCTCTCTCCATCCTCAGAAGCTAGAAGGCTGTGATTATGAAAGCCGCCATCTTTCTGGAAGGGACAAAAGGCTAGAGCTATCCTTTTCCTTCACTATTGGTTCTTGGGCCTTTCAGTCTCTCTTCAACGTGGGGACCATTAAGGTTCTCCAGAACTGCCTGACTTTCATGATCACAAAGCTTCCATCTGTGGAATAGACTACAAATTTGATTATAAACCAGAATGGGCTTATTCCAGAAGCCCCAGTGCAGGCAGCTGCAGTGCTGAAAACCCTGCAGGTGACCTCACTGTCTCCCTATGGTTGAAATCTGCTTAGGCAGCATCATCTCTTTACTTATCTATGTGATCTCACATGGAATTGTATTGCTCAACCAAAGAAGGGTTAAGCAATCCTCCTCCCTTCCCTCTCTCTTTCACTTCCTTCCATCTCATATTGAGTTCTCAGACCCTTAGATGGCCTTCTAAACATTGTGACTTACTGAGTATTTTGTGCATCAAAATAACTTTTTAATATCTGCAATGACAATATGATGATACAAAATGTGCATGTCTCACAGGCTCACATGCCTTCTCATTAGAATAATGTGTACTTGAAAAGCTTTCTATGAACTGCTGAGCTGTCCTCCAGGAAGCATCTCTCAGTGTTTCCTCTTCCCAGCATTTTCCCTAGAAATCTCAGAATCCTGCCCATTTTAAAAAGTATTACCTTTAAATTTTTCTGCTGTCTTGGTGGGAGAAAAAGAGGTTGGAGAGATGGCTCAGTGGTCAAGACGATGTAGAGCTCTTGCAGAGGACTGGGTCTCAGTGCCCAGCACCCACACTGCATGGCTCACTGCTGTAACTCTAGCTCTAGGAAATTTGACACCTCTGGGTTCCATAAACATACACAGTATTAAAAATAATAAAGAATCTAAGAAGAAAAAGAAAGCTGGGCACGATGGCACACACCTTTAGTCCCAGCACTCAAGAGCAGATCTCTGTGAGTCTGAGGCCAGCCTGGTCTACAAAGTGAGTCCAGGACACCCAGGGCTCTGTTACACAGGAAAACCCTGTCTTGAAAAACAGGAAGAAAGAAAAGAAAGAAAGAACTCATTATTTTGTGTTCTCTTCTTTAATGGTGAATTTTTTTATGATTGTACATCTGCTGGAGATAGTTTTGTATATAATGCTTGAGTAGAGCTATTCTGCCTGACCCAGAAATGTTAAATATTTAAGGAGCTATCTCTCTCTCTCTCTCTCTCTCTCTCTCTATATATATATATATATCAAGTTAGATATATTTAACTTTATTTAAACTTATTGCAGTATGTACATGTATGAAATTTTATACAATACACCATTAACATGAATGATTTTACATTTATATGTCAATTAAAATAAATTTAAAATAATCAAAACTACAATCACCTTAACCCATTATCTGCCTTACAATTTCTCTTCAAGCCTATCCCCAAACTGAGTCTTTTTTCTGCCCAGTCAATTATTGTGCTAGGAGAGTGACATTTACTGTCACTGAGAAAGTCTGGTATTGATTTTACTTGCCAAAGAGCTGAAGTGGCTTTTGAAGCAACAGAATTTGTTATATTAAAAATTATCATTACAGAATAATACATTTTCTTCTTAGCCTATGTAAATAATGATCTTGGCAGCTGGGAGGGCATGGTCAGTGCTCACCATTCTCCATTATCACCAATCCAGGCAACTCCCTCCATGGGCACTACCGGATGCCATCAATCTAAAAGAGCCCTTGAGATCAAGTTCCCTGAGTGATTGTGGAAACTGTGGGAGTTACACTTTGCCACAGACTATGTAGCTGGAATACATTCTTTCTAGCCAGAACGTACCATGTATAGGGGCAAACTAGTCCCGCCTTCACATTTTCACTTCACTAAAAATGGGTGCACATAGGAAACGTTATTTTGCCTTAGTAATTATTTGTACCAACCTTACAAGGCTGGCCTTGAACTTACTGAGGTCCACTTATCTCTGCCTCCTATGTGATGGGTCTAAAGGAACGGCCACACAGGCCGAATAAACCAAGTTAACTTTTACAGGTTGTTCTAAGTACAAGAAGGGGTGTTTACCAGCGGCGGGTAGCCACAAAATAGAGAACGTTTGGTGTCTTTCTCGAAGCCTTGTACACTCTTTATTCAAAAGTTTGCAAAACTTTGTTGTTGTTTTATTTTTCTTTCTATATATCTGTGTGCCTAATTCATGATGGAGAAATAAAAACCAAGAAAAGGAAATGTTTCCCAAAGCAATCTAAAACTTTTGCATTACTGATTGAGTTGAGCCTGCGATTGTGAACCGTAGACGTGTGGAGGCTGTAGACCATAATCAAGGGTCTGAGTCTGCTCACAGTCGTTCTTTACTTAGAAGAAAAAGGTCAGGGGCCATTTAGCCCCGTTAATGCGCCCACGGAAACGGAATTAGGAGCACAGAGCAGAGCACATTCTCTATCTTGAGCTTCAGCCCCTCTGAAAGCACAGATCCGACTGTCACTAAAGGATTCTAACGACTGTCTCTATTTGTAGGCAAAATGAAGGACCGGCTTGCAGAGCTTCTGGAGTTGTCCAGGAGCTATGACCAGCAGTTCCCAGATGGGGATGATGACTTTGACGCTCCTCACGAGGACATCGTGTTCGAGACCGACCACATCCTGGAGTCCTTGTACCGGGTCATCCAAGACATCCAGGATGAAAACCAGCTGCTGATGGTCGATGTGAGACGCCTGGGGAGGCAGAACGTCCGCTTCCTCACCTCCATGCGGCGCCTCAGCAGCATCAAGCGCGACACCAACTCCATCGCCAAGGCCATCAAGACCCGTGGTGAGGGCATCCACCAGAAGCTGCGCTCTGTGAAGGAGCTGAGCGAGCAGGCGGAGACCAGGCACGGCGCGCAGTCGGCGGTGGCTCGCATCTCGCACGCGCACTACAGCGCGCTGGCCCGCGCCTTCCAGCAAACCATGTATGAGTACAACCAGGCCGAGATGAAACAGCGCGACAACTGCAAGATCCGCATCCAGCGGCAGCTGGAGATCATGGGCAAGGACGTGTCGGGCGAGCAGATAGAGGACATGTTCGAGCAGGGCAAGTGGGACGTGTTCTCCGAGAACCTGCTGGCCGACGTGAAGGGCGCTCGGGCGGCGCTCAATGAGATCGAGAGCCGCCACCGCGAGCTGCTGCGTCTGGAGGGTCGCATCCGCGACGTGCACGAGCTCTTCCTGCAGATGGCTGTGCTGGTGGAAAAGCAGGAGGACACGCTGAACGTCATCGAGCTCAACGTGCAGAAGACCCTGGACTACACCGGCCAGGCCAAGGCGCAGGTGCGCAAGGCGGTGCAGTACAAGAAGAAGAACCCCTGCAGGACCATCTGCTGCTTCTGCTGCCCCTGTGTCAACTAGCAGCTGCCTTGGGCTGCCACTGCTCGTGGCTGGGTGGGAAACATGTTCAGGATGCCACTCAAAGACATCCTGCACTGGGCCTAGGGAAAGTGTCCCTACGCCTTGCCGAGGAGTTCAGAGCGTAGAGAAAGGAAGTTGGGGTTGGGATGCACCGGCCTGCCAGCATAGTTGTTAGCATCCTATGGTTGGTTGATGTGGGCAGATTACCACTGGAGTTTTGTGCCGTCATTATAGGATACACAGCGCTCACATCACAGGGAGGAGCTGACGTTGCTAAGATCAGTGTTTTGAAGACTAAGGTGAACATATGCGCATACTATGAGCACATTATCAAAACTTGCCTTCGTTTGTCCTTTCTAGAAAGCTCCTTGGTGCTATTCGATTTTGAGTGACATTCGTTTGAGTATTCCTTTTGAATAACGCTGACCTTGGTGGTAAACGATTTCATTCCCTTCTGATTATCTATTTTTGTTGTGTGAGTCCTATGTGGAAACATTCCTTGGCTCACTTCCCCTCCTCACTAAACTGCATTGACCACTGTTTCCTTATCTCTCACCTTTTACCACTTCCACCAGTATATATATATATATATATGAATAATTTTCCAAATATTTTTAAGCACCGGATTGAACACGCATTCAAGTTAAACTTTGTATCAGTCAACATTTCATATATTTTCATAGACGACATTTATTTAAAACTTATCTTTGTACTTCGTTTCCTACGAATATGTGTGTTAATGTAAGTAATATTTTCAATCACATGTGCATAATGTGCAAGTGGAGTAAACTGGGCTTTCGTAAATTCTGTCTATGAACAAGAACGTTTTCTGCGAGTGTCAGTATTAGCTGATTGTTCTGAGTGTAGCTCATTCCTGTCTGCGCAGCTCAGTTTGGGTCAAACTTTATTTTGAACAAGTGTGTGCTGTCATTAGTGAAGATAAGTGAAGTTTGAAAACACATGAAATAACTAGCAATACTAAACTGTTCTTGGAAATTTATCTTACTGTGAACCATTCCTTTCATACATTAAAGCAGAGAGATTTAAAGTGAAATAATCTTGTTTTTCAAATAAGTCTAATAAATGTGACGTTATAACTATCTTTTTCTGTATCCATATCTTGACCCACGGAGGCTAAATTGTCTTTTTCATTGCTGTTCATAACTTCAATATGTGCATGAAACTCTAAACAAAGGATAAACTCAAGGAGTTTAAAACAGAGTGCCCGATTTACAGTTTTCACAGTCATTTAGAAGAATCAACTCTCAACTCCTACCCATTCTTTAATACACGAGTAATTTTGGCTGAAAGTCCTGTATCTTAAGTTCTTAAGAAGAAGGGTTTTGAAAGAGAAGAAAGAGGAATAGGAAGTCTTTGGGGCCCTTTGATCTTGTGAGAGAGAGTGGCCCTGTGCATAGGTTGCTCTTTACAATTTGCTGGGAAACTGTGAAAACTGAGCCCTGCCAGGCTCTCCTCACACTTTGCCCAGCTTATTTGTCAACTCACTACTGGGATGCTTCCCTTCCATGAAGGGAGAAGAGGAAGTTCCCACAGGGCCCCATGCCCTAGTTTTTACTGTAGAGAAGAGAGAGTCTGTCTATGGAAACTAGATATTTTCTGCAAGAAGAAACAGTTCATGAATTTAACTTACAGGAAGGAACTCTGGAAGAAATTTTCTTTCTTCTTTTAGAACCATTATGAAAGTAAACAACTTTCTGCGCCTGCTAATTTTCTTTTTTCAAGACAGAGCCTCACTATATAGCCCCAGCTGACTTAGTACTCACTATACAGGCCAGGCTGGTCTTAAGCTCACAGATCTATCCTCCTGCCTCTGCCTCCTGAGGGCTGAGTTTAAAGTCGTGTTCCACCACACCAAGTTAGAACACTTCTTTCCTAAATAATCCTAATGATTATGTTTTCACAGTGGTAACTATTCTATCTTGTTTGTTTCTACTCGGCTTTGCTATTTTGTTCTATTCTATTCTTCTATTCTATCCTATTCTACTCTTTTCATTTCTGCTCTATGCTATGACATGCCATGCCATGCCATGCCATGCCATGCTATGCTATTCTGTCATATCCACAAAAAAATCATTTAAACACAGTTTGGCAAAAGTTTTTTCCTGATGCTTCCCAAGACCTGGATCATAAGCTTCATGAGGAGTTCTGGAAAGCCATCGAGGCTGGAGCACAGACCTCATATCCTACCATAACACCCCAAAGCTCTTTTAAGAGGTAACAGTGAAATGCCAGCTTTGGCCTTTGAAAAGGGTGTTCAGAGTCCCTAAGTGATGAAACACGGTTGGCTCCTCCTCCTTGATATTCACTTGACAGACCCTGAGAAGTGACATTGGGCAAACTCCAAACACTAACGCCATATTGAGGGCAGCATGAAAAAAGGGTCACAAAGAAAATTCTTAAGAGCAGAAGATGGGTCCAGAAGATAAATGCATTTACCTCTGGGTTTGGTGACCTGAATAACACCCCTAAATCCTACATGTTAGAAGGAGAGACCTGACTCTCACAGGTTGTCTACACACAAAAATAAATGAGCAAATAAATAAATAGGCATAAGTAAATGAATAAACAAGCATAAACATTTATAGTTAATATAAGAGTTTGAAACAGTTGTAATCAGAATACCAAGCAGCCTTACTCCAAATAACAGCATTGAAAATCACTGCAATTAATGCAGCATGACTATTAGAAACAGAGTGTGAGAAGCCAGGAGGAAGCCATTTTCATACCATCTTGTCTTTATTCCAAACACATGTTATGGAATGGACAATTATCCTTATACAGAAGAAACTCCCACTTTATCAGTGTGTTCTCTTTAATTTGTAACACTATTTTAAGCTATTAATTTGTTTGTAGGTGTGCAAAGAGAGGTACCTTCAACTGATGTCATCAAACTGGAAATAGATGTCAGCAGCTGGAAATTTTACCCTATATTTATAAAAATTAATTTTCTAGTTAGCATATAAAATAGTGCTTTTTAAGTTAATACACATGATAATGGGATTCAATATGGCATTTTCACATATGTCATTTTATTTTGTTCTTTCTCATCCCTCTCACCTCACCATCTTCCCACCTCAACCCACCCTTTACACCTCTTGCTGGTCCCTTTCCTCCCCTCAAATTATAACACCCTCTACACTGCCTTTTGCTCTTAGGTTACATGCATTCCGTTACTCTGTTTTTCTTCCTTCCTCTTACCTCCATTAAGATCTCTTCCTCCAAGACGATCCAAACAGTCCTGATGAGACTTAACAAGCTATGGGTGGCAATAGTGGAGAACGCCCCCTTTCGGTGGACTAGGGGAAGGTGATGAGGGAAGAAGGAAGAAGGGTGGGACTGGGGGGAATTGAGGGAGGGGTCTTCAATCGGGATATATAACGAATAAATTGTGAAAAAAAATAAAAATTAAAAAAAAGAAATTTAAAAAGATGTCTTCCGCCCTTCTTTTATTTATTTATGAAACATACACACACACACATACACACACAAAGGAATTAAGGGATTTAAATCTAGACTCTGAATACAGAAGAAAGCATGTAGTATTTGTCTTTCTGAGTCTGGTTTATTTGGGGGGGGGTTGGTTCTTTTTATTTTTGAGACAGGGTTTCTCTATGTAACCTTGAATGTCGTTAAACTCACTATGTAGATTGTGAATTTAAGGCTGGACTTAAAAAAGATTTGCCTAACCCTGGCTTCCAAGTTCTGGGATTAAAGTCTTGTGTCATCATGCCTGGCTGGAGTCTGCCTTATTCCATTTAACATACTGATTTCTACTTTCATACATTTCCCTAAAAATGCCATGATTTCTTCACAACTGAATAAAATCCCCTTGTGTGTAGTGTCACATTTTCTTCATCTATTTATCTCTTACTAGACATCTAGGCTGGCTCCATATTCTAGCTATATGCAGCAACAAGCAGGGACATTCAAGTATCTCTGCCGCATGTGTACTTAGAGGCCTTCAAGGGCCTACTCCACAGTGCTTGATCTTTGTTGTCGACTTGCCTGGATCCAGAATCAAAGAAAAGGTAAGCTTCTGGCACTCCTATGAGGTGTTCTCTTCATCAGGTTAGTTGAAGTGGAAAGATGACTGTAAATGTGGGCGGCACCTTCTGGTGAAGCCTACACAAATGAAGATGCAAGAAGGAAACTTCTCATTGGGTGCAGTGGCGCATGCCTATAATCCCAGCCTGAGTCCAGGACAACCAAGGCTACACAAAGAAATCCTTTCTCTAAAAACCTTCACTCTTGATTACAAGTTCATCTACCCTGTTTTTGCTGCTGCTACATTTCACTGCTGGTACAACCCCACTCGTTCCATGGGCTGAAGACCAATAGCTCTCCAGGAATTCTCCAGGCCTTCAGCACCACACTGGGACTACTGAGACACTCAGTCTTGCCAATCAAATAGCTACTGGAATCTCAGGCTTTCTGATGTGAAGCAGCCATCACTGGACTACTCAGGCCATGTCATGTAAGCCAAGCTAAGAAATCCCTACTCTATCAGGCTGTTCCTCTAATCATGACTAATGAGACACTGGATCACAAGGGAGTCCTAGTTTCATTTTCTTAGTTACATTAGTGTGGATTTCCACAGTGGCTGCACCAGCTGGCATTGTCATCATCAGTGTGTAAAGCACCCCCACATCCTCATGAGCATCTGTTAATTTTTGTTTTCTTAATGACAGCCATTCTGACATGGTGAGATAGACTTATCAAAGTGGCTTTACTTTACATTTCTCTGATGGCTAAGAATATTGAATATTTCTCCAAATATTTACTGGCCATTTGTATTTAATCTTTGAGAACAGCCTATTCATTTTATTAGTCTGTTTCTTTGCTATGTAATTTGGTATTCTGATATTTAATTTTTGTATCTCTGCTAACTCCCTGTCTGATGTACACTTTGCAAGTATTATTTTTCTCATTCCATAGGCTCTTCACTTTGTTAATTTTTTTTGCTATTTTTTCTATTTATCTATTTTTAAAAATTTACTGACAAACTGATATATATATATGTAATAAATTTTATTCACTTTCACTCCCCATTTTTCCTTTCACTCTCTTCCCACTGAGACTCTTCTCTGCAAGAAGTTCTTTCTTACTTCCATGTCCTTTGTGTGTGACAACTGAGTGCAAATAGGTTACCCTATAAGCACGGGTGCATGGTGATTTACTGATGGAGCATGGGCACCTTATCAGTGGCTACACTGCTAAGGTAGGTTTATTGGGCAACGAAGAATATTGTTGAAGGTTAAAGTTTAATATTGATTTATCTTTTAGTTAAGCAGTGGTTATTCCTAAACCAGCTGTATTCCCAACACAGAGACTAGGATTTATTTAATTAACCTAGAACACAATGCTGGGCAATAGTTACTCCACCCTAAACTTCTAAACCTACATAGTTTCCAACCATTCAGATTTCACCCATTATACTCGCTTTTAGTTATATCTTAGGTCCAATTCATCTCTCCTTGTGGTTCCAAGTCCTGTCCTGCTGATGTATCCTCTCAGACTCCTCCCACTCACTTTCTTCTCTTCCCCTCCCAACCACGATGTCCCACCCTTTACTCACCATTGCACAGCCTTGGGGCTGGTTGTTTAATTGACAATACAGAGAACAAATTGTAGCATGTTTACAGAAACTTGAAATAGGTGATGCTTAGAATAAACATCACAATGCAATGTCCAGATTTGAGGTAGAGAAATCAGCATTTGAATGAACAAGGGTAAACTGTATACATTCCACAAGAACATTATACCAACGCTAGAACAATATCAATATTCTGTATTGTTTGGAGAATCTTTGGGCCCTCCCTATCCAACAACTCACAGGAAAGCATCTCCACCTGGCATCAAAAATTTTGTTTCATAATCTATGGCTTCTGAAAGGAGTATTACTCTTCATTCAAACTCATTTTTTGTTCTTTTTTTTTTTTTTAAAAATTCATGTATGTGGTTGTTTTTCCTATATATATATATCTGTGTACCATGTATGCCCACAGAGGCTGGAAGAGAATGTCAAATCCCCTGGAACTGATGTAGGAGATGGTTGTGAGTGAC